GTTGTTATCGTTTATCCATACATTTATTCAGTACTTTTATTTTTTGTATGATTCAAATTTTAAACACAAAATGGCCGTCGCCATTCGTGATCTTTATTTTGACGTCAAACGAATCTGTTCTAAAAATCACGATTGAAAAATATTAATATCTAATTAGAACATTTGGAGTATATTATTAATTATTATTTTACAATTGTTGTTTATTTGTATAAAAACCTTGTTATATAGTAGGTATGTTCAAAAGTTTCTTTTTTTAAGTTAATTTTTAAAATAAATTAAAAAACTGACAACAATCTCAATGTTTAAAAATTGTTATCCTGATTACAAAAGAATACATGAAATGTATATATACGTTATGAGACGAGTATCGCTTAGCTTCAGAAAACAATGAATATTGCATCGAAATACCAGTCCTACGCTTCTGTAAGTTTTAACTCATAACTAATGTAACTTAATTTAGGCAAATGTATTATTTTTTCAGCATTAAACTCTTATTCTGTAATTCATCATTATCATATTTTAATGATGATAACGATCATCTGTAAATAATAAAATCAAACAAAAATATATCATTCACTGAATTGTATTAATTATTATTATAATAATAATAATATATGCGCATATTAGGTAGGTTYATATAAATTATTGTGTTTAGGTTAGGAAATACATTTCATCGGTGTACATCAACCTCCCTCCCATAATTTCGSTTATTTTCCCGTTCAACCGCATAAATAACAATAACAATCAATCGATCAATATTCGTGATACGCAGTATAATGCGTGCATTAATCATTATCAGACGTCGCATAATATGAATCCTTTACCGTTTTCAGGACCACTTGTCCAGTCACGAGATGATGTTCGGAGGCGGAGGYGACCTCAAGTCATCCATGTCCGGCGTCGGAGGCATCGGCGCGGGCGGCATGTCCATGATGGCCAATTCGGCGGCCGCGGCCGCGGCGTACCACCACCAGACGCAGCTGATCGGCGGCGGTATCGGAGGCGGTGGCAGCGGCATCGCCGGCGGTTTCGGGTCCCCCATCGGCAGTCGCCCGCTGATCGGCACTGGCGTCGGAGGCGGCGTCGGCAACGGCGACCACCACAGCCACTTGCAGCAGATCGCCGCCGGCCACCCGGCCGATCCTTCGCTGCTGCACGACTATCATTCCTTATGACAGTGGGTGTCTGGCTACAACGGTGGCCAGCAGTGAAGTGGCTACGGAGGCGCACTCGCACCCGCACGCCGCTCGCACCCACACAGCACCCACACCCGAGCWTYGCTCTATTATGCATTATACATAGTAATAATTGTTGTAAAAATAATAACAAAATTCAAACGCACACCACTCATCGGCGGCGCGCGGGTGCACAATAAACTGCATAATA